ACAGCAATTCAATTATTGGCGCCGTATCTTTCATTTTACTCCCGATTGGCAAGCTACATGATTTTTAATGAGTATTCGGGTTTTGCTAGTAACTTCACTTGGAAATCGCGCTTAAACTAGGTTAGTTGGTTATTTGAACATAGAAAGAACATGGGAGCTATTTGATTAAGATGCTTTCATAGAGAACCTTTGTAAAGAGAACCTAGAAAACTACGAAAACCAACCATGCAGCCTGGGTTAGACTTCGCAACAAACAATTAGTATTTAACAATCTTTCAAATGCTAGGCAACTGGTGAGGCTCCAATTAAATCTCCAATTTAATATTTTATTTGTAAATATTTAAAATATTGTTGTATTCTTAGACACAAAAAGCAGAATTTAAGTTTTGTTAACTCGTTAGTAAACTACCAAGCCGTAGTGCAAATGAATATTCAATTTCTTTTGCAATAATTGTATTCACTTAATATTCTTGGAATATGAGCTAAAGAAGGAACGTTCTCGGAAGATTAAAGAAGTGTTTAAATCCAGTGATATTAGGTTTGTCTTACAAGCTCAGGATCAAAACGATTCTGCAATTGCCCGAGTAGTTGACTTGTAAATGGACTGTGAATTAAGCAGATGACTTTTAATCTTACGTTTTCAGTCAGAAAACCTATTCCAAATGTTTTGTATTGCATGACAATGCATCTTTTCATTATTCAATAACCAGTCGGAGAACCGCTTGTGTTCCGAAAATAAGTATGTGTACTCAATCGTCCTGCATGTTCTTCAAATTTGTCTTCTTGTGATTTTTTTTTCTTTCCCAAAAACTAAAGTTGCCTCTCAAAGGAAAGTTTTTTGACATTGAAGAGACAAAAGGAGTATGACATCTACTTTTAGAGGCATGTCAAAAACAGATCTCTACAAGCCTTCTCTTCCATTACATGTTGTGCAGTCAGACAAAAAGTTACATCAGCGTAAATTCTATAATCTATTTTTATTACACTCTGATTACTTTATTAACATATACTTTATAACTACAATATCAGACAAAGGTTTAAATAAGCCTCTTATTTAAAAAGAACAAACATAAAGGCATGTTCTGATGCTTCAATTACATCTCACAGTGATGTAATTAAACAACAGTCAAATTCAAACTAAAAATGTGGACTAGTAATCAAAGATTATACAACTTAATTTTAATTTAATCTGGCTCAGTAATTCTATCATATGAGGAAACGAATGGAAAATTATACTAAAGGCTGAAATCATAAACATTGTGTAATTACATAATAATACTGCACATATCTTTGAAGAATAATTTTCTTTATGTATTCAGTTCTTTCTTCAGCAGTTTCCTTTTCATATTAGAATTTTTGGATTTAATGAGGTTTCTATTCTGTTTTTCTAAAAAAAAACCTAATTTTAGAATGTATAGAAAAAGTGACTAATTTAATTTCTTTAGTAATATGGATTTAGAAGAAATATGAAAATATATGTAAAGGCCGGTACAGGCTGATGTGGCAGAATTTTTAGAATTTACACACCAAACAACAAAATCAGAAATGGCAAAACTTTTAGAATTTAGACAGGCATTGAAAGCAAATTTAGAAAGGCACTATGTAGTCGAATTTAGGATCCACAGAGATTGTATCAGATAAAATGCTTAGTGCCAGCTCTGTGTATATGCATTAAGACTATTAATGGACTTTTTTGTAAGTTTTCAATTTCATTATTAAAAAAAAAAAAACCTTTCTATAATGCCTGCCCAATTGATAAGATTAAACATTTTTGATATTTCCATGCTTGTGTCTAGTGAAAAGTAGAGAAATAAAGGGAAGATAAACATGTTAAGAAAAAGATTCTAGTATCAGAGTAAAACATTCAAATATTATGTCTTCATTGTTGTTCCAGACGTTCTCCAAAAAGTAAGAAATTCATTGGAAACTTTCTGTAAAATACATCCATTACGCGTTGATACCATGGAGACATTTTTCATTTTGTCACATATTTATCGAATCTTCTAGAACCGTTGGTCTATAAATCTTGCCTTCAAATCTTTCTAAATTTTCCACGCTGCAATGTCAAAAATACTTCAGAAATATTATCCCAACCAATTCTGTAACAGCAAAAAGCCAGAAATATTTTGGAAAAAAAAAGGGGGAGGGAAAAGTGCAAAATTAATTTTATAGAGAAAACTGATGCATATTCTGAGAATTTTGAATATTCTGAGACAATTATATGGGAAATATGCTTACTATGAAAAAATTAAAAACAAGATATTTTTAATTAATTACATAGTTAATTTTGTTTTTGCTAAGAGATGTTTTGTAAATTATGCTTTATAGCATTATACCTTGTTTATTTTTCAGATACAAAATATTGTATAATAAGTTGCCAAAATAAAACTTTATAATATGACAGCAGAAAATAAAAATGTTTTATTTTAATGTTATTTATCAAAGTTTATGTTTTTTCAAAAAAAATCGTCGAAAATTCTGATTTCAGAATTAAAAATTTTCTATAGAAACTGGTCTTAAAATCGCCAAATGTTGACAAGTCCTCAAATTTAGAACCGTTTAATAAAGAATTCACATTCCTAAAAGCGAAAATTGTTTAAGAGCTTTTTTTATAATAAATGAATTTTGAAATGTTATGTTTCACTTCTTGCTTAGAAACTCGAGTATCCCGTCATTTATATTAAAAACAGAAACAAATTATAACCCATGACCATTCAAAAGATAACCATATACATCATTGAATCGCCAAAAATATTCCTCCAAAATGCTAATTACACTCAAAATGGCAGTCATAAAAACAGACAGAAATTTCAGATGATTAAATTTAAGGACCTTCTACTGATTTTGGCCAAAATTAAGGACTTTTAAGGACCAAAAATCGATTCCAAAAAAATTAAAGACTTTTAAGGACCGTACGAACCCTGACATCCTAAGTTGCAATTTCGAGACATGAAAAACGCAATTTAAATTTCGTCAGTCAACCCAGTAGAACAGATCTCCTGTTCTACTGGAACTTTTTTTTTTTTTTTTTTTTTTTTTTTTTTTTGCACAGTGCACATTATTAAGTTTACATTATCTACATAATTTAATTTTTACTGCTTTTAAAAACACTTAAATAAATAACAGCTTGTCTTTGCTACTCTGGTTTTCATCAGTATAAAATTTAAAGAAAATATTAATATAAAATGAAATTAGCCAAACAGTATAATGTCAATTTAGAATGCATTACTAATCTCTACATATAATAAATCTAATAAGTCTAAATAAGTCTGTCTGTGTGTGTGTGTGTCTTTCGTTTGCGCTGCGCGTAAGCTAATAGACCCACGGCTACGAAATTTGGTACATAGGTGCATCTAGACAAGAGCCAGTGCACCTCGAAGCAATTTTTTCGAAATTAGAATTAGAATTTTTTTTTATTTTATGTTCTGTGACAAAATCGCGTCATTTTGAGACATAATGCGCTAGAGGAAAGCGAGATTTTACTCTACGCACTCCATTTTCACATCGTCATGAAATGTAGGCACTTAGCTATTTTACAAAATTCAAATAAGTTTTGTATTTCAATAAATCGATTAAGTACGAATTTATTTAACAAAGTGAGCTTAACACCTTTTCAACAGGATTTTTTCTAAAAAAGTTTGTTTAAAAATGTACAGTTTATTTTTCTTTTATTTTTGGACACGTTAAACTTTCATCCTTGCGACTGCTTTTACAAAAAGAATTTTGGAAAAATGATATTTTGTATTTTTAAAAAAAATTCAAATGAAGCTTCAGAGTACACTTCTCACATCTCACATCTTTAAAAATGTGATTTTGGCAACAATTTTCCTTGCTTATTGTTATTGATAGATTTTTGATGAAATCGCATCATTTTGAATAGTTTCATTCTTTTAGAAATATGGGTTTGGCAACAATTTTTCATCATATTTCTTATGTCACTGTTTTTAAGAGATTGGCATAATTCATCGTCATTTTTTTATATATATAATACATTTTTATTGATGTTTTTTATAAAGTTGTTCTGCAGAGTAAAATTGCGAGCGGAACTTTTTGTTTTTTGAGTTTCTGTCATGTTATTTTTTGCTTATTTCACTGTTTGTAAGATATTGAAAAGTTTTGCATGATTTTTTTTCTTCATGGAAAGTTTGGTTAATTTTTTTTTATTAGGATAATTAATATTTGTATTAAGGGATATAGCTTATTTCATTGTAATTTTTTTTCTCTAGAAAATATAAGATAAAATATCATTAATTATACTTTACTTTTCAGAATTTTTTGTTTTTTGTATTCTTTTATGTTATTTATTGCTCATTTCACTGTTTTTAAGATATTAAAAAGTTTTGAGCGATTTTTTTAGGAAGCAAAGTTTTTAACCTATTTTACACAATTTGAGTTCTTAAGATTTTGCAAAGGGAAGTTGGTTAATTTATTTATTAGGATAATTAATATTTGTATTAAGGGATATTGCTTATTTCATTGTAATTTTGTTAGATGTAATAACTTTTTTATGAAGTTTTTCTTCAGAGTAAAATTCTACGCAGTTTTTAAATTTAACATTTGGTGTTCCCTTCAGCCATTTTTCCGGTACATTTAAAAGCCAGACGAAGGCTGGCAGCGAAGCTGCTAATAAAATCAATATATTTTCCCTCAGAATTGTGCTATAAATAGCTTAATAATTCACACGTATTAGAATATGACCTTAAATCAAATTTGTCAGTTCAATCTCTGAACATCTTGTTTTTCATATTTCATAGTGAGCAATTATGTAATCATAAAACATCAAACTGTTAAAACTTTTTTTAGCATTTTGATATAAATTAGGTGTTATAAATGAAACTAATCTCAGTACATTTTAAAATATACATATAAGATACTTAGTACATTATGCTATTTTGCCTATTCTTTTTTTATTCTCTAAAACTGAAGAAATTTCAAAACTATAGCATCTTCAATGCACTTTCTTACTTTCCATAACACATATGTGACTGAAAATTAAATACCTGGACACAATTAGATGTAATAGTCTTCCTAACAACTTCCATGCTTGAATATTTTGTCCGTTTGAAGGATAATCCAAAAACATGAACAGATGTTTCAGGCATTCTTTAACATTTCCTCCTACGGATGTTAAAGTACTATTCAGAATAATAAAATCAATTTCTTGATATTGTATATAAACTACTTTAAACTCAGTAGAACAGGAAGTTAAATAAACAATTTAATCCAATGATAACTCTGAAAATTGTAAGTCTTTGAAATTACAAAATCATAATGGAATTAGCAATGTATCAAAGAACATACAAAATTATTAAGTAATATTCAATACATTAAGTATATGCATAAATTAAACTTTTATAACTAAAAATGCTTAAAAGTTAATGAAATTTTACTGATTTAAAATTATAGCAACATTACACATAAACGTCACTTTTCAGTATTTTAATTTGCAGTTTTAAATTAAAAAAATAGACTAAAACCACATTTTTTTTTTTTTTTTTTTTTTTTTTTTTTTTTTTTTTTTTTTTTTTCTATAACTGGAAAGTCCTTATAAAAATTTCAATAATTTTCAAACTTGTAAATTTTAATAATTTAAATTTAGATATAGGGGAAGAATTTTCATATACTTCAAGGTTGGCACTGTTCTATTATCAGGACAGGGTTCAGAAATATATGTATGTATGTATGTATGTATGCATGTATGAGGTCATGTATATATGCAAGTATGAATGTATTTGCATGTATACAGATATATGCACATACATATAAACACATCTTCATACATTTCTGATTCCATACCCAATAACAAGAACAGTACCGATTATCTTTACATAGCTCGAAGTACACAAATGTATTCAGATTTTTAGTCCAAAAGGGCAATTTGCCCAGATGGACTATTAATATCGTTTTGGCATTTTGCATTGATTTACTTTTTAAAGTGTTGCCACCAAATATTAGAGCCATGTATTACATTTAAAGAAATAAAATAATGAAGAATCTGCATAAATGTATGTATATTTCTCACATTGTGATTATGGTGTCTCTTCATGAGTCATAATTTCTCATGTTTATTTCGTTTTCAGGAAACAGGTTGGGAGAGCATTAAAATTTGCAATCAAAACTTCAAGATTTCACAGAACACAGAAATAACATTTATTAACGATAAACTTAATGATATAGGTATATTACTTCCGCCTATAGCGGCCATGAAACATAATCAAGCATCAAAAGGGTATGACATGCGTCATTCTTCAAGTCCAAGCGTCAAGTGGAATATTTTTCATCGGCGCGCAGCAAGAGCGCCACCTATCTACCGAAAAGACGGAACAGTGATAAAACAACAGTATCTAGAGCCACCAAATTTTGAATAACGTACGTTTCCACCCAAATATAGGCATCTAGAAGCCCAAATTTGGAATTTGTTTTATTAAATTTCATATTTTGTAAAAATAACGAATTTTTGATTAACAAACTCAAGGATTTCAAAGCGAACAATGGCAATACTCTACAGAGGGGAAAAAAAACTTTTTATCTCCAGCGCGCGGAACTGTGTATCAGAAATTCTAAAGATATGCTCATTTTAAAATTATTTTGCGATACTGCTCTTGAACTGAATTTAATGGTTTAAGTGCAAAGAACATGATATTTAATAAATAAAGGTAACACAATAATGTTAAAAAAAAAAGCTGAAATTTGATGTAAAATCTGAAAGCCTTTACATTTTATTCATTTTTTTCCTTCTCATTCAAATACAGTGGTACTTCGATACAAGTTTGCTCTGGAATATGTCCAATTTGGCATATGTTCTGGATGGAAGTGAATTTTTTCTTTCCCACATATGATATTTCTTTGGAATATGATTAAAAATTTATTACTGCCCACTGCAAGTGCTACACTTGCTTACATCTACTGAGATAATGCTATGACAGCCCTAAAGCATGAGTATGCCTGTTGCTACAATTCAATAAACGACCTGAACTATAACTCTGAATTTTCATATGATTTTATGTTTTTTCCATGTAAATTGTTTGTAAATTCATTAACAATGACCCTTCTCATTAACTTTCCTAGAATTCAATTCCTACAATGAATTCTAGGAAAGTTACTGAGAAGAGTCAAGAAACGGAGAAAACTATTATTGTCACCAAACAAGTGAAAAAAGAAAATGTTGAAGAATATGAAGATAGCATGTATATGCAGGATTAAACTATTGCAGATCAATACCAAGTACAATAGTGTCTACGAGTGTGAAATCTAAGAAGCACAGAATGGCACTGGTTTAAAAAAGTTATTATAATGAAACATAGCATAATAACTTTTCAATTACACTATTTATTTTTGAAGGCCAATTACACTTCTAAAGGGAAATAAAACAATTACATTTCTAAAAAGAATATTCAAGAACTGTTTACTTGCAAGATACAAAGACAGCTGTGGGTTGATAAAATTTTATCAGATATATGGTAGACAATAAATAACTATATAACCCACTTCACTATAACAAATAACTATTGCAAGGATCGTCAGTTATAAATAAAAGAAAAAGTTGTTTTTTTAAGAAAGGCAACATCAGAAAAGAAACACTGATGATTTCAAAAATAGAGACAGGGCAGGTGCTACTAGTGAACGGAAGCAGAAGTGAGCACTGCTCACTGTTTTTGTAATTAATCAGCTATCGTTTAAATTCCTTTGTTTATATTAATAAAACATGCTGTTTGTGCTGTGAGAAAATCTGAATTTATTTCTTCTGTCATTTGAAGTACCTACAATCTCTTCGGTGGGCCATCATAAAGAAAAAGAAAAATATTTCTGTTAAGGCCCGTCCACACAAGTACACTCGTGATGTAGTCGCCAGTCCATTTTCTCCCCGCTGTTGTAAATTCACATTACGCAGAGGATGTAAAACTCAGTTCACTCATGTTCAGCTTTTTTGCCTGTGACATGAACGAACAGCCAATAGCCAACTGAGTACTTATCACGTGCTATAGTTGGAAAAAACTTCTTGTTTACACTTTTCAATATGACGTCGGAACTACTACATAGCGATGAGTTTTTTTTTTTTTTTCCCTCCAGTCCACATGAATAAAATCATCAGAATTGTTTATATGCATTTCTTGTAAAAATTATTTTATTATTATTATTATTTTCTCCTTATTGCATAATTTTACATAACCTATCCAAAATTTGAACCTTATTCTAAATTCAAAAATAAACAAAAATAAGAATTAATAAAAAGAAAAAAAGCGAAAGGCTTTCAGATTTTATATTACGCACCCCCCCCCCAATTTACAGGCATATACACGTTTTGAGAGCATTTGGGCTACTGCCACATTGTGCTAAAAACATTTAAAAACAGCATGGCTTTAGAAATTTTACTGGATGAACCTTTTTCTTCTAATTTATTTCTGTAATATTATATGCAGAATAATCAAATTATAGAACACTTTACTTACAACAGGTTCCCTTACATACACGTACTCCCATACCACACATAAACGAGCAAGGCCAAGAGGGGGGAGGGGAGATTTAAAAATATGAAGTTGACTTTATTATATGGTGGATGGTGTTTTAAGTCATTTAATTTTCTTTATATACTGCTTTATAAGTTTAAACTTTTTACAATTGTATAAATCTAAACAGCCAAAACAATTTTATAAATTTTCATTTGCATAAAAACTGATTTGTGTGTATAATAACTGTTTAATCTTACTATCCGAGTTGTTAAATTGCTTAATAATCAAAATTTCACTATAGAACAAACTGAGTATGATATTCTTCTGATTACGAACCAGAAGATAAAACACTTTAAATTTGCAGGATTCTATGAGGGTCACATGATCTTTTCTCTTTGATAATTCTACTGGCTACATGCAGACTTCTCTCGGGCATAGTTTTCCCCCCCTCCCCCAAATGAATCTCATAGCAGGCATTTTTACATTTCTCTACCATTCTACAAAATGCCTTAAAACACAAACTATGATTCTGAATTGCAAAATAAATACAGTATCTTTCCTTATATAAATTTTTACGACTTTATTTTCATGAACTAATTCATCTTGACATATTCTTGGTAAAAAATGTGCTAGCTAAATATTTTTCACATAGAAAATGCAATACCAGAAATATTACACAAACTTATCTAAATAAAAGATGCAAAGATGATTCTCTAAGAAGGATAAACACATATGGCTGTGATTTCTGCAGGCTCCACTATAATCCTATAACCATTTGATATCTTTCTTAATCAATAAGCTTTCGGAAGATGAAGCTCAAAAGCTTTAAGTAAAATAGACGGCTGGAGATAACCACAATTACATGCCAAGAGGTATATTAGAATAGCCTTCTTTAAGAATGATATGTGAATCAAAGTTAATTTAACCAATAATACATATTGATTATTATTTACAGTTTAATCTGCAAGATGATGAAAATGACAACTGCTGAATTAACAGCACTGGGCAAGGAATGCAAAACATCAGAACAAGAATTAGGAATTTATTAACATTGTTGCGTTTTTTTTCTTTCTGACACCAGTTGTTTTGTTATTTTCTTGCTTCATATTCGTACGGGGTTCATATGGATTTGGAGTGAATAATGACGACACTTGATGAAGTATCGAAACACACTTTATTTATCAATATTAATCAGGACAGCTCCAAAACACTTTTACAGTCGTCGACAGCTACTATAAACACGCTAGAAAAATCAGCGGCACAGCCTTCACACTGTCAGGCAATAACAGTGGAAACAGCTTCATTGCAAAGCACCAGAGTACAGCTCCAAACTCTGCTCGGTCGTTCTCGGAACTCCACATATTCTCGAGACTCTCCACGCTACAACTCTCTATGCACTCCACGACACAGAGAGCACAGCTCCCGACTCTTTGGTTCAATCGTTCCTGGAGCTTAATATACTCTCTTAATGATGCACTAACCACGATATACTAAAAGACTCTTCGATGCACTCGACGACCCACTCAGCGCTAGACTTCGAGACACTCGCTCAATGACTGACTATCAGCTCGCTAGATGAGCCACACACTGACTCGCCCTCCCGACGACACACACTCACTAACTGACTGCAAACCAGCAGGGTTTATATAGCTTTCGGCTTGTGATCAAGAACATTATGGGCTAAACCGGTAAGAATTTGTTCCAGACAGTTTTTCATCCATCCATGGTATATTGCCAATTTTGTTGCCAAATGGACGATTTTTTGCCAAATGTGGCAACCCCGCCTTCCCTTGCCATTTTATGGCAACCCTAAAACTGCTTTGCAGGGAAGCCATCTTACTGCGCCTGTACATTTCGTAACAATATGTTGCTTTAGCAATGTGAATAGCAAAGTTAATTATCCCATTAATTAATTCCTGTTTCTTATATTTGCCAGTAATCAGTCATTAACTATTTTTTTTAATACTTACACCAGACAAATACAGATTACTTACAAGTTTTTTACCAAGAAAAATAATCATTTAGGTTTCATTTAGGATAAATAATTATTAATGATCATTTATATGTAAAATTATTTTAAATAATCATTTAGGTTAGGTTACTTTAAATAATCATTTAGGATAAATAATTATTAATATAATTATTAATAATAATTTATAAGTAATAATTATTTTAAATACAGTCAAAAGTCGTTAATACGGACTCGGCGGGACTTCTGCGATTCCGGATTATCGATTTTTCCGGATTATAAATCATAAGTTTAAATCTCGTAAGATGGCATGCAGAAATTCTAAAATTAAAAATATGAAACCGTAATTTATGAAATAAAGAACAATTATGATCTAAAGGGTATCAAAAGTTACAAAAAAAAAGCTTAATATTATTTTTTTACTTTATTAAACATTTCTTTCAATGTAAGTTGTTTAAGTGCTTTGGCTTCGTTTATTGATAATACTTTCTCTTTAATGCTATAAACAGACATAATTTCTTGTTCAGTTACAAAGTTCCGCTGTTCAAGTCCCGTAATTGCTGTGCCGAGAATACCGACTAACTTGTCAATCGAATTTTTTGTTTTCCACTAACCTCTCTGTCACCTTCTTCATGTCTTCTCCATTTTTTGCAGCAATTCCACTTTTGTTTGATGGACATCGAAACATACTTTTGTTTTGTAGATCCTTTAGGAGCTCCAGCATCGGAAATTCTATTTGACATAATCGAAAGT